AACAGTCGCTGGAGAAGGATGTCATGCTGGGTAAGGTGGAGGGTCAGAGAAAAAGAGGAAGACCCCTAATGAGATGGATTGGCTAGGTGGCATCATTGATGGCATCGAGTGTGGCAGCGGTAATGAGGTTGTCCCAGGATCGGACATTGTTTCGTTCTGCTGTGCATGGGGTCACTATGAGTCGGTTCCGACTCAATGGCACCTAACAACAACAACAATAGAGACATCATCTGGAAGCAAATCACCAAGCTTGTCTTCAGAAGCTCCTCTAGGGAGGTTGGGACTCCTGTTATATGGTTGTTGTTGTTAAGTGCTGTCAAGTCAGTTCTGACTCATAGCAACCCTGCATAGGGTTTTTGAGGTTTTAAAAATTATTTGTGGGAGCTGAAAGCCACATCTTTCTCCTTCAGAAGTTTGTAAAATTGCAGGAGCAGCTGGTGGGTTCGGGCCATTGTGGTTCACAGTCCAGTGCTTACCCTATGGATATGGTAAGTGTATGTTTAACTTTGTAAAAAAAAAAAAAAAAAAGAAAGAAAACAAAACAAAATCTCAACCCAAAGTTGTTCGACCTCTTCACCAATAGTTGGTATTGTTAGCTTTTAAAATTTTTAGTCATTTTAGTGGGTATGTAGTGGTAGCCCAGTGTGGTTTTAATTACTGTTATTAACCAATTTTTCATGTGTTTATTTTCCATCTGTATTATCTTTGGTGAAGAGTCTGTCCAGTTATCTTGCACACTTTTAAGGTAGTGTTGTTTTATTCAAGCTTTAAGAGGTCTTTCCACATGTATTCTGGATGCAAGTCTTTTGTCGGATATGTGTTTTGCAAATATTTTTCTGGGCATCTGTGATTTGTCTTTTCATTTTCTCAACAGTATCTTTTGAAGAGCAAACATATATAATTTGGATGAAATACAATTAATCAACATTTTCTTTTATGGTTTGTGCATTGCGGTTTCTACCTAAGAAATTTTTGCTTAAACCAAGGTTGCCAATATTTTCTTTTGTAGTGTCTTCTGTAAGTTTTACAATTTTGACACTTAACATTTAGCTCTATAATCCACTTTAGTTTTCTTTTTGTATATATTGTGTGAGGTATGGGTTGAGGGTCTCTATTTCTCTTTGTCATAGGAATATCCCAATAGTTCAGCATCGTTTGTAATAAGGCTGCTCTTTTTTGCATTGATTTAGCGTGGCACTCTTGTTTACGATCAGTTGATGTGTGGGTCTACTTTTGGACTCTTTCTAGTCCCTTGATTGTTTAGTCTTCATTCAGTTTTGCATCACCTTGATAGTAGTAGTTTTATAGTAGGTTTTGAAATCAGGTAGTCTAAACCCTCAACTTCGTTCTTTTTTTTCAAAATTGTTTGGGATATTCTAGGTTCTTGGTTTTCCTTGTAAGTTTTACAAGCTTTTTGTATTGCTATAGAAAACACTTATGCTGGATTTTGATCGGGATTGTGTTAAATCTATAAAGCAATTTGGGGAGCATCAACATCTTAATACTGAATCTTCTGTTCCATATACACTATTACATAGCTGTCCATGTACTTAGGTCTCAAGTGACCTCACCAATTTTCTGTATCTTTAGCATACATAAGTTGCACATTTAATCATAAGTAATCATAAGTATTTGGATGATACTGTAAATAGTATTTTTTGAACACCTAATTTCCAAGCTTGGTCAACAACAACACGGAATACCGGGCCAAGAGGACTCATGCG